GTCACCCCCATGGATCGAATGGTATTGTCCTATTGTTAAACGCTAACCAAAATTAGTAAACAACATGGCGGACTCGACTCGCCGGAATGCCCGGGCGTCGATCATAAAAAGTGTGGATAGCTGCTCGAATTCGCCACTCCGGTTCAAATTTTGAGCATAAACGAATATTATACAGTACAAGGATTGCTGCCGCTGCCCCGCGCGTTAGATATTCCCCCCTATTCGCCTCCGCGCGTGCCCGGACACTCCCTCGCGTGTCCGGGCGTTAAATAGTAGGACCCTTCATGACATCAGACCTCTATTTGCAATGTAATTCATTTCAACAAAAAGAGCCCTTAATTTGTTTAATTCTGGTAGTGATTTAGAACAAGAATAATGAATTCCCCAAGGTGGCATATTTCATTCAGAGAAGTGTCTAGACACAATAAGGCCAAAAAAAAAAAAAAACTTGTGTTGCCCTCAAGTCTGGAAAATTGGGTCGGTCGGTCAGAATTTTTTTTTTTTAAACTTGTTAAAACTAAGAGTATCATAAATAGCCGAAGTATATGGGAATCAATCAATCAATCAAACGCATGCTAGATATTAAACACAAAAATCAAAGTGTTTCTTTCATTCTTTCGTATTTAAATATAGATCAACCCGAGGTTCAAACGCGACCTGATATTCCATATTTTTTGGTCGGTCATGAGGTCAACAAAACAATTTGTTTTTTTTTTGGCCTAATGTGTTTGGCCTCGCCTCACACATTATCTTGCCATAAACCCTTCTTCTCATCCAATATGGCATTGTGGGGGATTCATTAAATAATGGGTCCAACTGTGTCTTGTCCATTATCGCACACATCCCCATCTTTGCCTAGCTGTTATTTAAACAAGCAATGATGAATACTCTACAGCTATATCGGATGAGAAGAAGGGTCTGCGATGAGATGTGTGAGGCAAAGTGGAAGTCATTATTGCATATAGACGCTTCTCTGAATCCAATATGGCACTGGAGCATTCATTATTGTTGCCATATATCAACACCTTCAGAATTGAACAGGAGTGCATTCGCGTCGTCACCTCAGGATGGCGTGAGACGCCTCGAGTCTGTCTAGTTTTCGTTCGACTGCTAGGTGATGTCACAACTTGGGTGACTCGGGCAGTTTTTACCATCCCTGCTTGCAGACCCGGGGAAGTTTGGGAAAATGATAGGGAATGACGAAATCGATATAGGTAAAATAAATAATGAATACCGGTAGGTAATAGGTAAAAAGGTGTTTAGGTAATTTCCTCAAACATAAAATGCAACTAGGCGTGATTTTAAAATAAATTTTGTACATTTTACATGAGTTTTGCTCGCATAGCAACGGACCAGTACGATCATGTCAAACTACTTCCCAAGATTACGTTTGTGTACTTCCTCTGGGAACCCTTTCGCTGCCACAGGTCACTACTGCCACGTCACTTGGGGCACCCTGAGAGAGCGACACAAACGCACTCCAAATTTAGTTAAATGTGGTGATTTATAACACTTAAAAAAAGCATTGTGTAGAATTTTTTTATTTCAATTATAATACCCCGAAATGTCAAAGTATTGAATATACTGTCAGTGATATGCTTTTAATTTAACACCTATAAGCCAATTCTATGTAAAAACCCAATAATCAAACCCAATTGTTTATTTTGAGGCATTTTGTAATGCAGTCTTTGTGTCCCCTGAACATTCCTGCATAACAAAGTATCGGTATCTTCTTATAGTTCAATTGGTATGGCTAAGGCAGCGTTAGAAGCTATGAGTGGTTTCAATTTATTTGGTGAACATGGTGCAGCCTGGTCTACAATTTATGTCGATATTGATGCACACAATAGAAACAGAACAACTTTAGAAACGTTATTACCAAGGGAAAGTAGCTCAAAGGTAAGAATGGTCATGAGTTACTGCCCTCTCATTGGTCGACTCAAATTCCAAATTGCTTTCACAATCACTAGAAAAATCTTGATTTTTGCCATGAGTAGTAAAATTAACCCCCTGCTAAATTTAGGTCAAAATTATTGTCAGAGGGCAAATCAGGAGTACCTACCGTAAATACCTTTAGTATATCACTGATACAACAGTTTGAATAACCGTTACATTATATGTTATGTCTTTGTTATATTGCATCTTTGTTTTATTACTGATATTGTTACATTATATCGCATCTTTGTTTTATTACTGATACTGTTACATTATATCACTTCCTTGTTATATTACTGATATCGTTACATGATATCACATCCTTGTTATATTACTGATACCATTACATTATATCACATCCTTGTTATTTTACTGATACTGTTACATTATATCACATCCTTGTTTTATTACTGATATTGTTACATGATATCACATCCTTGTTACATTACTGATACCATTACATTATATCACATCTTTGTTATATTACTGATACTGTTACATTATATCACTTCCTTGTTATATTACTGATATCGTTACATGATATCACATCCTTGTTATATTACTGATACCATTACATTATATCACATCTTTGTTATATTACTGATACTGTTACATTATATCACTTCCTTGTTATATTACTGATATCGTTACATGATATCACATCCTTGTTATATTACTGATACCATTACATTATATCACATCCTTGTTATTTTACTGATACTGTTACATTATATCACATCCTTGTTTTATTACTGATATCGTTACATGATATCACATCCTTGTTACATTACTGATACCATTACATTATATCACATCTTTGTTATATTACTGATACTGTTACATTATATCACATCCTTGTTACATTACTGATATCGTTACATTATATCACATCATTGTTACATTACTGATACCGTTACATTATATCACATCCTTGTTATATTACTGATAACATTACATTACATCACATCCTTGTTATATTACTGATAACATTACATTACATCACATCCTTGTTATATTACTATCGCTACATTATATAACATTCTTGTTATATTACTGATATCGCTACATTATATCACATCCTTGTTATATTACTGATAACATTACATTATATCACATGTTATATTACTGATACTGTTACATTATATCACATCCTTGTTATATTACTGATAACATTACATTATATCACATCCTTGTTATATTACTGATAACATTACATTATATCACATCCTTGTTATATTACTGATAACATTACATTATATCACATCCTTGTTATATTACTGATATCGCTACATTATATAACATCCTTGTTATATTACTGATGCTGTTACATTATATAACATCCTTGTTATATTACTGATGCTGTTACATTATATAACATTCTTGTTATATTACTGATACTGTTACATTATATCACATCCTTGTTATATTACTGATAACATTACATTATATCACATCCTTGTTATATTACTGATAACATTACATTATATCACATCCTTGTTATATTACTGATAACATTACATTATATCACATCCTTGTTATATTACTGATAACATTACATTACATCACATCCTTGTTATATTACTGATATCGCTACATTATATAACATTCTTGTTATATTACTGATATTGCTACATTATATAACATCCTTGTTATATTACTGATAATATTACATTATATCACATTCTTGTTATATTACTGATACTGTTACATTATATCACATCTTTGTTTTTCAGAACACTGACGCCGCTCTCATTACAACGTTGAGTTTCCCTGCGTTTGCTGTCAGTAAAGAAGACGTTGTCAAAAAGACTCTTGATAAGTTAATACGCAAACTGAGAGGGCGATATGGATTTAAAAGATGTTTACGCGATGGTTATGGTACAGTTCTAGAAGATAGAAATCGGAAGCACTATAGACCAGCTGAAATAAAGGTAAGCTATTTATGTATTGATATATCAGTAAGGTTAATGTCTGTCTTGCAGTCAAATTTGTGTGTGTTTTTTATCAAATTACTACGGCCCTTTAACAAACAGTCTACTCACCTGGTTGTGAAACACAATTGGATGCACTTTGTTAGTTAGTGTGTGAAGTGTACATCATTTTGATGTGCAAACAAACAGTTGAATTGTTTTTTTTTTACTCTTTGATAATGAATTATGAAATTTACTTTGAAATTTATGTTCTTAATGTACTCTGTGTATTTTTTGGAATTACACCTTCCTAGCAGACATTTAATTACTTTTTTCAGTTGTTTGATGGAATTGAATCCGAGTGGCCCATCTTTTTTGCTTACATGGTGATTGATGGTGTTGCTAGGGGAAACAAAGAACAAGTTGATGAGTATGAAACTCTTCTCCGACCACTAGTAAAATATAGTCCTGAAGGTTAGTAGCATTTTGACATATTTTAGAGAGAAAAATAGACTAAATGTATGTTATATTTCATCTTTTAACATCAACTAAATGGACTTTAAGGAATTTGATATCCTTTGTCATTTTTGGTCAAATACTCCTGGGATTTTTTTTAGCTCCGCTGTCGACTTTGTCGAGCGGAGCTTATCATATGAGTGATTGTTCGTCGTCCGTGTCAATGTTTTACTTTTTCGACTTCTTCTTGAAAACTACAAGCCTGAATGTTTTGATATTTGGTGTATATGTATCTTGGGTAGACCTCTCTCAGATTTGTTCATTTTGTAATGATATCTTCAATTCTCTAATTTTGGTGAATATTTTTGTCATTTTTGGTAAAAAGTGATATTTTCAACTTCTTGTTAAAAACCACATTACAATCATTTATGGTGAAAAATGATTTTTTTGAATTCTTGTTGAAAACAGCAAGTCCCATTGCTTTGATACTATACATATTGTTCATTTTCTAATGATATCTTCTGTTCTTTAATTGAAATGTGCATTGCTAACAGTGGAGCTATCTCAGCCGATAGGCTGCTTGTTGTTTGATGTGAATGGATAATCCTGTTTTGGTGATGTGTACAGTTGTCTTTTTTTTCACATGTTCTAAGAATTATCAGATTTTCAGCTTTGGACAGTGTAGATATGTTCTCTCTCTTATATTTTGAATTTAGGACCATTACTACCAAAATACTACTATGTTCCAAAGAACCATGTTGAAGCTGAAAAGAAGAATCCCGGAAGTCAAGAGAAAGACCCTAGTGAAGAAATATATTTTAATAAAATATTTCTCTGGGGACAAGCCATCTACTTTATATCTCGACTATTAGGTTAGTTGAAAACTACATTTGAACTTGATGTGTAAATCAGCCAATTTTTTATGTAGCTCATCAATAAGACATAGCCCCATAACTTATAGTGTCATGCTGTGTTGTATTTCATTTTGGTCCCATTGTTTAGTTCCCGTTCAGATGGAGACTTGTAATTTCACTTCCATGTGTTCAAAATGGCTGACTGATGGCCATTTTCTTTTTAATAAATGCTGTTTTTGGAACCATATTGATAACATAGCTGGACTGATGTTCAAACTGTACACACGTATATCTTCTAACACATTTGCACATGCATTTGTTTCAGAATCTGATTCACTAATTTAAGATGGCCGATCGTCATTTTCGTGCTATAAATACATTATGAATGTCATGGGCAGAATAAAAGAAGGAATAACTCAAAAAAAACTGGCGTGACTTTGTATCATGTCTGTCACGATGAGTGTAAATAATTATTTGACACTAAAAACTGGACAGGGACTGGTCATTGACAATGACTTGTTTGAACAAAATTTGAATTAACTGTTGTGCTTGAATTAATAACAAAAAATGTAGAAGAACATCTCCAATTGATCATTAAAAATATGACAAATTTTAACCAGCCTCTGCCAATTAAAGCAAATATAGTATATTGAAAAAATGTTGGCATATTAGGATCAAATCATTGATTGTTTGATATTGTTGTATTGGTGCTTTATTTTTTTTGTAGTTGAAAACCTCTTGAACTTTCAAGAACTTGATCCTCTTGGGCGGTTCAAAGGAACTGGTATGAAAAAGAAGCAGGCAGGACGATATGCCATGTTCAAGGTTAGTATTGAATACTGAAGCAGTTTTTAAAGTGCTGATTCAAAATGGCCGTTCTGTTTTCTATTGAACAACAGGGACTCTTAACTTGTTTGTTTACCTTTAAATTTCCAAAATAATTACAGAGGGAACCATTTTAAAATTTTCATCACAACCAACTGATATACATACACCCTTATGTACAACCAATATATATATATATATATATATATTATGTAAACAGTATTGTATTTGCTCTTACTATTACAAGCTCATCTTTAACCTTTTCAACACTAGTTCCTATTGTCGGCACTTCAGAAGATTGGGACAAAATAGCCAATTTTTTTTTTGAGTAAAAACTGAAGATTGACTCAAATTTTGTCAGTTAAAAAATTAGGGTTCATTTCCAGAAATATTGAAGAATATAAGAAAAAAGTGAAAAAAACATTAGGGGCGAGAAAGCCTGGTGGTAAAAAGGCTAAAAGAAATATTTTTTTTGCCTATGATTAGGGACCAAATAGAATCACTTTCCTTCACTTGTAGTTCATTAACTTAATGCATAATTAACATGTGCAGGGTTTCAGACAGATACAAGGAGGAGGGGACAAGGTCGTCATCACTGACTTTATATGAATTTTCTACTTTGTATAAAACCCAAAACTTGCAAGAAATGAAAAATTATTGTTCAATGTATTGTTACTCATGATTGCTAATTTTTTCGAATATGTCTTAGCTCCATGTACTTTTTCATTAATAATGGCTGTACAAACATGTGTTTATACATGATATTGATTTTGATGATTCCTATTGCAGAAACCTCCAAAAGATTTATGTATTCAAGTAGCTTTGATCGCAGAGTCTTCTCGATTACAGTCTATGCTAGCGACATATGGTATACTATCACAGACGCCTGTACAATGTGAACCCTATGAGATATGGCCACCCAACGAATTAGTACGAGTGAGTATGTAAATAATCTACCGTAATAGTGAAAAATTGTGACAGTGAATTGTAAAAAAAAAGTAAACAAGTACGATTTGGAAACGTTAATCATATAATTCAAATCTTTTTCGTGCAGGCTTTCGAAAACCTTGGTGTTAATACGAAGCTAGGTTTATCTGGCCGACCCCCGAGACCAATCGGAAGTCTGGGTACGAGTAAATTATACCGAATATTGGGAAGGACTGTTGTATGTTATCCCATTGTGTTTGATTTGACAGATTTCTACATGGCACAGGACATGTCTCTTTTAATTGACGATATTAAGGTAAAATGAAAAGTTTAATGCATGAATTTGCCATTATGCCATATTTGATGTTATTCACACACAAAAAGTCCTCGGTAATTTAACTCCTTGGATGCTGAATTTGTTTCCTGCTTAAATTTTTTACATTTTCTTTAATTTTCACCGAATTCTATCTTAATTTTGGACCGAACAGACAAAATGTGACATCAAAAACCTCAAATATTTCGCAACATTTCATGTAGAAAGCAGACTATAAATGGAACTATTTTGTGTTGACTGGTGTTCAGAGGGTTAATGACTTGTCACCATAGAACTTGGAGCTGACAAACACAATGTAGCAGTTATGTGCACAAAAAGAATGTGCCAGGAACTGACTGGAAACAATATGGCCACCAGTTTGTACCACCACAAACTGATTACATATCAGAGTCAATCAACTCTGTATGATATGATATTTAGAAGTTAGTATGATTTGTATATTTTCCAGACATGTACTAAACTGCAATTTCTTGTTTATACATAAATGTAAATTTTCTACACAATATTTTGGATACTTTTCTATGATGTTTAATATGGTAAATTTTAGACCAAATAGGCAAATTTTCTCACTTCTTATAGATCATCTTTTTTTGAATAAAAAATACGGAAATATTATATGCGTTTTATTGTTTTATTTTTTTTTGGAAAAAAGTCCACCTGACATTTAAAAGTTTATAAAAGTTATTCATACATAGCTTGCCTGCCTGCTAAATCAGTCTTTCTGAAATCGTGCACTCACTGAATCATGCATAAGAATTACACATTTCCTTAAATATTGTTACATTTCAGTCTCATCTTGCATTCATCCGGGATGCCTGGACGATGCATGCTAGACCCACATTCTGTGTTATCATAAGAGAAGACCACATCAGGTAATTCAACATTTGATAGGTGAATCATTTGGTCTAGACAACTAAAATGTTAAAAAATGTCAATGAGATATAGATGGTAGCCATGCCATGCTACGTTCTGGTCTGTGCATGTTTGCCTGTTGATTAAAACAAATTTGATTATCAACAAAAAAATTTATTATTCAGTAACGTAGCTCCGAAATGTGCATCTACATTCTGAAATATGAGGATAAGAAAATAATGTTGTATGTGATTCTGTGCAGCAAATGAATCTGTGAGGGGAATGGTGAGTCTATGTAACAATTTGAAATGACAAACTAATAGTATGTTTTTTTAGGCCATAGCCACCTGTTTCTATTATACGACAGTAATAATACATTTATCATCTATTTATCAGTGGAAGCAGTCCATATGAAATGTTGGATTTACTTGCATCGTTCAAGAGAGGTGAATGTAATGGAATTAAAGTAAAGATTGGTCGCTTACAAACCATGATAGATACGTCCATAATTGAACCATTGGAGTTTATAAACCTGGAGCAAGAGAGAACAAGGTAGATGAGTTTCTTGCATTTTATGTTCACTTTATTTTATTCTTGCATTGTTTAGCTGTCCCAAAACAGCCACCCGGAATACATTTTGATTCTGAAAACTCATTTGACTCTTGTCTCATAGGTTGAATTTACAACAGCCCTTATTTCAACGTCTTGAAGAAGTAAAAGTTGGTCATTCACCATTAAAGCCAGTTAGAAGTATAACAAGCATTGTACCCAGCTATCTCCCTGAAGATCAGGACTACAGCATTCAGGTAATACAAATTTCCTACTCCCAACTGTACAAGTATTGAAGATTATGCACATCTGTTTAGTGACTGTAATTTTGTCGTAGCTCTCTGGAGAGATTTACTTTTTACTCTGGGAAGACCATTGAAATTGAAAGCACCACCGAGTAAACTTTGTATGATCCTCGGAGATCCTGAATTCAGTTGGCAAATCAATTTTATCTGCCTTCTGGTAAGAAAACATATTTACTATGCTAAAATGTCAAACAAATTGCCAAACTTTATACAGTTTAATCAACTTCTGAAAGATATACCCCATTGAAAGTTTCATTGCTATACAAAACATAAAGAAGTGAATCATTACAAAAAATGGTCTTCCCTGATATGTATATTGATTGATGTATTCCAGGTAATAATGTAATTCATACTTACGTAACCTTGAAAAATATATTTTCAATACAAAAAAAAAAAAAAATAGTAATATTTCAAGCTCCTAAATCCTAAACCTATTTTGCTGTCATTGATGAGTTTACAATACTGGTGCAGCTGTATATAAAGCTGTCAAACATATTTCGAATGACTCTAACTAAAGTAAACTAAATTTTTCCAAATTTGTGTGTTTCAGACAGTCTCTTCTGATGAAAAGAGAACAACCAAAACTGTGAAAACAGTAATTCTAAAATTACAGATTATCAAATTTTAAACAAATGTAATTGAGTAAACAACAGATAACTGGTAAATTGTGTTACGTGATGCAGACAAGTTTTATCCATAAATATCATTTTTACATTCAAACAATACTAATACATGTATGATTTCTTTCATCCTATGATGTTGTATCCTATTCAAATGTATTGGTGTCTGACTCTGTCCAAATCAATTCACTCATAACATAGTTTAAACAAACTAAATAACCCTATCTTCTCTCTAGAACTGTAGCCTGAGGTGTCAATTTGTGTACATGTGTATCACAGACTAGGACTGAACTCTGGCTGAACAAAAGTTTCCATCAACTTTCATGTTGAGGGCGCCCTCCAACAACTTAAGCTCTCAACGTGTACACTTTAGTATAACTGTTAAAACCACTACTTTGTGAAAACAAACTCATTTTTTCTACAAAATTGTGAACTTATCCCGCTATTTGTTCTACCATGGGAAAAAGTGAAATGATACTGGTTTAGGCATGTCCAGAAATTAATTATTCCAATACTGAGATATGGAAGGATAGAGTTTTATTTCACATCTGTATAAACTGATATGACATCATCAGTTCATAGGTCAATTGCTGGTGACATCATTTAAATTACTTACTATTTGCTTTCATTTAATTTTCTTTCATTCTTATTGAACGGCTGACTGCAATCTTAACTTCCAGTTGGTGAGTCGTGTCTTGTTTGAAATACTTGACTAAAATGTGCCGTCCTGTATTTGTACACTAACCTGGAGAGCCATGTGCGATTTTCCAGAGCTATAATTCTAAGGCGATGAACGAAGAAATCTACATTATATGTCATTTTCAGTCAGTTGCTCAGCATATAACAATGTCATCATCTGAAAGCCTAGATGCAGGACTAGTGCAGACATTTTTGCTTTGTTACAATGATTTTTTTTTTCTTAACCTTTGTCAACACCAGACTTTCTCGCCTGAATTAATTATTCTGCACTATTTCTGGAAATGAACCCTAATTTTGGGGGTACATGTAACAGACAAAATTTGAGTCAATTTTCAGTTTTCACTCGCTCTCCACTTTGACTAGGTTTTCAAGTAACTTGACACATAATTTGGCATACAATCCTGTAGGATATTCATACATGTAGTAGTGTTCTTGTTTTTTTGGATCTTTTTTCTGAGGTAACTGGTAAAACTATTGTTCTTGGTTCATTTTATATTTAGAATGGGAACTGTTATTTGGTACGGTATTCAACAACAACCTTTCAACATCATGTTAAAGCATTGTTCATTATTAAACAGTGAAACTACTGAAGCCTTACCCTTGCTATTAGAATTGAATAATTGTCACTGTATTTTTACTTTCTTACTTTTTACATTCATTGTCTTGTGAAAGAACGGTAAAAATGTTGGTGATCTAGTCGGTAACACGTCATGGGGTAGTGCACATAGCCATGTTTGTTTCACATTGTTGTTGAGCAGCGCATGTTTGAATTTCATGTAAACAAATAATGTATTTCAATGTGTACAATGTGACGAAATGATCACCACCCTGTAAACAAACATGACTCAGTGTTTCCTCTTTCATCAAACCCTTCAGATAATCGTAGCTATAGTTACATTGTTGAGTGACTGACTGAAAATGAGCTTGAATAATTATGCAGGTTTCTGAGTTCATCAATTTAAATTTCAGTTTCATAAATAAATTTACATTGATCACTCCCCCATAATTGACTTGAAGTCTGCTGCAGTTTAAATTCTGATTCTGATTGGGTGAACATCACGGCCACCAACAAATTCTCTGTCTTGTGCGATGTGCGACATTGTTCAGTTTCTACCTGAGAATCAATTTCCATAATTGATTCAAATCTACTTCTTGTGTTTCCATTTTTTCCCACAAATGTAAGTCTGGTATTGAGTAGCACTAAACCATCACTCAGCCGGGTATGGAAGTGTGCAGTAAAGCATGGCACTATCTGATCTAACATTTACAATACCATGCTGAGTGCTAGTTTATTTATTCACCAGTTAAATCTATCTTAAACCTAAAGATTTTTACAGTCTTCACAGGTTCTAGATTTCAAGCTTTTCAAATTCTCAATAGCTGTAGTCCGCTGTATTGTTTAAAGCATGATGAATTTCAAATCATGCTCTTCATTGAAATCGTATATGTAACTTTTTTTTTTTAACTTTATAAACTTTTTCACATAACTGTCATCTAAATAACAAAAGGTACTAAACCTTTCGGATTTTGCATATCATGAAAAAAAAATTATAAAACACATTGCGCATTGATGAAATTTGTACAGGATGTAATCGCACAGGATTATGGGTATTGTCTAATAACTCAAATTGAATACCTTTTCCATAGCAACGCAAAGGAACAATCAAGAGCGAGATGTTAATCAGAAAGGTAACACATGGGGAAAAAGTGGTACTAGTTTTTTTTTTTTTTTCATCACTTGCTCAATGGCTAAATTATCATGTGCGCAAAATGAACTAATAAATATCGTCAAAAAAAAACGCTACGCTCTGGCTAAAATTAATTATGAATCCTGCGTGTGATCTTGCTGAATTGATTGCAATCAATTCCTTGGAACATGTGCTGCATTAAAGCTATAATGCGCTCACTATTACACAAACAACATTCTGTCACATTTTTGTTGATGTCTTATTCCACTAAAAATATAATACGATCTACACAGCTGGTTAAAATCAGATAGGACATCAACTACAATGTATGCAGCTTCCATTTCAGTTTATGAAATATTACTATTACTAAAATATTCACTGGCATCGTAGATGTAATAAACGTTGCAGGAAGTGCTTGGTGCCATGCTCTTTGTGTTTGGTGGTATAGCTTAGCATGATGTATGTTGTTTGGCATCTCTTACCATAGATCTGCACTCTTTTGTAACTTCCATGATGCATTTGAGGTGCAGGTCTGTGGGAATGATATCCTGCATGCGACATGAACAAGTGTTTGTTGTCAATATCTAGAAGATTTTATTTTTTATCAGTTACAATTATTTTGGTAGAAACAACTACTTTTTGTATCCCTATCCCTAAATCCCTCCAGCAGCCACCCTCCAATTCAATTTTATATACCCCTTTAGATATAGGTTTCCTAAAGAGGGCTTATACAATTATATTGGCAGTGCTGACACATTAGGGTTAGGGATGGGGTCTACAAAAGGAAGTATTTCCTTTTAATGAATATACATGTGGGGTTTTGTGTTATCTGGTTGCTACAATACTGAGTGCACACCAACATTGATTCCTTGATAGGAAAAAAATGTAATTTTTAACAGTTATTCATTATAACTTCATCATCAGTATGTGTGAATAAACAAAGACAACAATGACGATGATTATGATGATGATCACAACAGGCATAGTAACTGCAATGTAAAAATATGTTTGGAACACAATTGAAGCTTGTGGAATAATTATTATTTATGAAAAAGTGTAGCAACCCTGTTTTCTTACAAGATATGCTAAGATATGCATGGTAGCCTAGCAACTAGAATACCCAAAACTCTTATATTAGTAATTTTGTATAATTAATTCGACTAGCTTTACAAGTTTTCCTCTTTCATGGAAGACATTTAAAAACACTTGTTCTTGTCAGTTCCAGTATATTCCATATCACCACTGAAGGTGTAATTCATTTCACTCTTTACATGTCTAGACATAGTTGTTCATATCATGACACAAAATGTCTGAAAATGTGACTTTGTTTAGTGAACTGAATTCCTTGAATGCATAGACATGCTGCATAGGCAGGCAATCATGGTTCGGTTATTACATCCATCATGGTGTGCGTGTGTTGTATGTGATTACAGTTAGGTTCAGTAAAATCTGAAGCATGGACATTAACAGAGCAGTGGTCGTCATGTTGCGCAGGTTTGAAACAATGTATTTTACACATGCTGTGTGTGTGTGTGTGTGTGTTGCATTGGAGCCATATCGAACAGGGCGCGACATGATGACCACTACAATACAAGTTTAACAGTTAACATATTAAAATTAGTGGCATGTTATTTGTAATCAACTGGTTAGAGATAAAAATGTCATGTTTGTATAAAAGTTCATGTTCATATAAGCAAGATTATACCAGGTGAATTGGGTAAAAATATGTCATTGACGTCTAGTACTGCCACAACATTTCCGTTATTCAATCTATTTTTTTTCAGGAATTTGAAAACAAATCTGCATATGAAATTCTTCAGAAATTAAACATGCACGAGAGTATGGTATGGCAAAGTATGCTTCTTGGCTTGGTGCTGATGAAGGAAGGTGCACATTACCTTACTGATGGAGGTATAATATAGCCATGTTCACACTGACAGTACACACCTTACTGATAGAGGTATAGTATAGCCATGTTCACACTGACAGTACACACCTTGCTGATGGAGGTATAGTACCGGTATAGCCATGTTCACACTGACCGCACACACCTTACTGATAGAGGTGTATTATAGCCATGTTCACACTGATCGTGCACACCTTACTGATGGAAGTATAGTATAGCCATGTTCACACTGATGGAGGTATAGTATAGCCATATTCACACTGACAGTACACACCTTACTGATGGAGGTATAGTATAGCCATGTTCACACTGACAGTACACACCTTACTGATGGAGGTATAGTATAGCCATGTTCACACTGACCGCACACACCTTACTGATGGAGGTATAGTATAGCCATGTTCACACTGACCGTACACACCTTACTGATAGAGGTATAGTATAGCCATGTTCACACTGACAGTACACACCTTACTGATAGAGGTGTAGTATAGCCATGTTCACACTGATCGTGCACACCTTACTGATGGAGGTATAGTATAGCCATGTTCACACTGACAGTACACACCTTACTGATGGAGGTATAGTATAGCCATGTTCACACTGATCGTGCACACCTTACTGATGGAGGTATAGTATAGCCATGTTTACACTGACCGTACACACCTTACTGATGGAGGTATAGTATAGCCACATTCACACTGACAGTACACACCTCACTGATGGAGGTATAGTATAGCCATGTTCACACTGACAGTACACACCTCACTGATGGAGGTATAGTATAGCCATGTTCACACTGACAGTACACACCTTGCTGATGGAGGTATAGTACCGGTATAGCCATGTTCACACTGACCGCACACACCTTACTGATGGAGGTATAGTATAGCCATGTTCACACTGATCGTGCACACCTTACTGATGGAAGTATAGTATAGCCATGTTCACACTGACAGTACACACCTCACTGATGGAGGTATAGTATAGCCATGTTCACACTGACAGTACACACCTTGCTGATGGAGGTATAGTACCGGTATAGCCATGTTCACACTGACAGTACACACCTTACTGATGGAGGTATTGTATAGCCATGTTCACACTGATCGTGCACACCTTACTGATGGAAGTATAGTATAGCCATGTTCACACTGACAGTACACACCTTACTGATGGAGGTATAGTATAGCCATGTTCACACTGACAGTACACACCTTACTGATGGAGGTATAGTATAGCCATGTTCACACTGACAGTACACACCTTACTCATAGAGGTATAGTATAGCCACGTTCACACTGACAGTACACACCTTACTGATGGAGGTATAGTATAGCCACATTCACACTGACAGTACACACCTTACTGATGGGGATATAGTATAGCCATGTTCACACTGACAGTACACACCTTACTGATGGAGGTTTAGTATTAGCCATGTTCACACTGACAGTACACACCTCACTGATGGAGGTATAGTATAGCCATGTTCACACTGACAGTACACACCTTACTGATGGAGGTATAGTATAGCCACGTTCACACTGACCGTACACACCTTACTGATGGAGGTATAGTATAGCCACATTCACACTGACAGTACACACCTTACTGATGGGGATATAGTATAGCCACGTTCACACTGACAGTACACACCTTACTAATGGAGGTATAGTATAGCCATGTAGGCTTATCTTACTCTAGATGTCAATACAGTCATTTGTATTTCCATACTTTATAGGTACTGTTGGTAGCAGGCTAGAGAAATTGTACCGTCAAGCTGGTGTCATAAAACAGTGGGCTATAGTGCGATATTGTGCCAGTCTGTTAAATAAAGTAGTAGACAGTCTGGCTCCGGGTATTACAACCATGCTTGTCAGAGGAAAACTGGTGAGTAAATCAACACAGCAGTCACAAAAAAAAATAAAATTGAAATATTATTGACCTTTAAAATATATTCCCACACTGGAAACTGGCCAAAAGATACATCCAAAAGTCTGTGTATTCAGTCTGACCGGTTACTTAAAGGCTGAATGATATAATGGGAGATGATCACTTCCTCCTGTGATAAAGACCAAAGTATGGGTATGATCAAAATATAACTATGGCTCTCAGTGTGTTTTTTATGCTACAAGTTTTTGACTATACATACTTATTTGCACTGCAGGTAACTGTTGGCACATTTGGACATGAAGAACAAGTTATATCAACACCCCTAACTCCTAAAGAAATTGCACAAATGATTTATTCGAGGTGCAGTCCTTATGATCTTAGAGAGTGTGTTCTTCAACAAGAGTTGATCATTGACCTGGCTAAGCTGATGCAGAGTAATCCTGATTTGTTTGATGGTATGCTTAAGATTAGAGTTGGGTAAGTGAAATTATAATCCCGATTTGTTTGATGATATGCTTAAGATTAGACTCGGGTAAGTGAAATTATAATCCCGATTGGTTTGATGATATGCTTAAAATTAGAGTTGGGTAAGTGAAATTATAATCCAGATTTGTTTGATGATATGCTTAAGATTAGAGTTGGGTGAGTGAAATTATAATCCTGATTTGTTTGATGGTATGCTCACGATTAGAGTCAGGTAAGTGAAATTATAATCCTGATTTGTTTGATGATATGCTTAAGATTAGAGTTGGGTAAGTGAAATTATAATCCTGATTTGTTTGATGGTATGCTTAAGATTAGAGTCAGGTAAGTGAAATTATAATCCTGATTTGTTTGATGGTATGCTTAAGATTAGAGTCAGGTAAGTGAAATTATAATCCTGATTTGTTTGATGATATGCTTAAGGTAAGTGAAATTATAATCTTGATTTGTTTGATGGTATGCTTAAGATTAGAGTCAGGTAAGTGAAATTATAATCCTGATTTGTTTGATGGTATGCATAAGATTAGAGTCAGGTAAGTGAAATTATAATTCTGATTTGTTTGATGGTATGCTTAAGATTAGAGTCGGGTAAGTGAAATTATAATCCTGATTTGTTTGATGGTA